GCATCGCAGCCAAGCCATGCAGTCAGCACAGCAGACTTAATATCTAAAGCAATTTACAGTTATGAAAATAAGAGACATATCCGCAAAACGACAAGCGCAGCAACAGCAGCAGCAGCCACCGCAACAACAATGGAACGAGGCGAGAAACTTCTGCTAACGAAGTAAGTACCCTCGAGGACACTTAAGCGTGCGACCCCAAACTCAGACTCGCCAGCTCGGGCAAGGCGGGCGGGCATAATGTCGCCAACATTTTCCGAAATTACACACAAATGGCCAAATAAAAGGTGCAAAAGTCTGCAATAGTTCCATGGGCCACAGCGAGAGTGCTGGCTGGGCAACAAGCGCTCACACTTATTCTCTGTCCCTCTCTCTCGCTCTTTCACTCAGCGCTTGAGCGAGTGAGTGCTGCTGGCGGCCATATTGGAAAAAGTCACTTGACAAACTGAGCGCATGGCGAGCCTCTCAATTTTGAGCACTTACTGCACAGTCAGCTGAGCGACGCTCATTGGCTGTCAGCGCGACCAGGCGCTAGGGGCGTGGCCACAGAGTGCCTTTGAGTGAGTTTCGCATAATGAGAGCCAGTGAGAGGGCGCCTGCGCTGAGAGCGGCGTGGGGGGCTGCGGTTCATGCGGATGCCAGAGTGTGGCCGACGAAATGAGGGTTAAATCGCGTGCATAATTTAGCAGTTCATTTCCTTCATTTGAGTGCAATGCTCAGACGTGCGCGGCTCAGCTTCATGCAAAGCTCTTGTCGCTATGTGCGTGCTGGGTATGCGAGAGTGCGAGTGTGTGTGTTGGTGTGTGTGGGCGCTGGCGCAGTGGCAGCGTGGCAAATATCTACTGTCGTTTACCGCTACAATGACAAGCATTTATGGCAATTAACACTTTAGCTGTTTATATGCTGCTTCCTCTGCTGCTGCTTCTGTTTCTGTTTCTGCGACAGCGACAGCGACAGCGACAGCGCAAGCGCTTGTTGTTGCTATTGCTGGTGCTGCCTCTGCTGCTGTTGCTTAAGTGTGTCAGCCATTAGCGCACCACCCACAAAACAACACCAACACGAGGACGAAGCGGGCATTCATTTGCCTAAAATCTAATTGCATTTCATGCAAATCACGTCGTCGGACCCACTTAGCGCCTTTTTTAGAAGCTGCGCTCGCCATTTTGCCCATTTCGCCTGGTCATGTCCAGCCATTTCGCTTTGCGTTTAGTGCAAATTCAATATCGTGCATAATTAATTTGCAATTAGCACGTTTCTGTTTTTGTTTTCATTTCACAAGCTCCGCGCACCGCTCACCGCGCGCAGCATGCAAATTTTCTAATTACAAGCTGAATGCAAACTAGTGTTGGGCATCTAGACGCTTGCCCGTCCTGACACATAAGCCGGCGGCAATCTGGCCAGCGTTTCGGTTTTCGCACGTACGAAACCCAGTCAAATGCGTTGGCATTTCAAATGAGCTGCAAATTGATGGAGGAATTAGCGCAGCATATTTAATTTGCCTGTAAATGCTCCAGGCAACAGCACCATCATTGATCCTCGATCAAAAGACCTTCACAGATGTATTTCATACATGCCTATATGCATATGTATGACTTTATGATAAGCTACCCAAAATACTTTTACATAGTTTATAAGAAGAAGAAGAAGTAACCCAAGTCAGTCAGTTAAGTCAGTCTAATAAATTATTATTAAATAATTCGTTTATTGAGAGTGATAAAATATAAATTAATAAACAGCTAAAGGTAGCTTTTGGCAATTTTTGAAAAGTTTTCAGCAAGCTGCCTTTAAATATTGATTATTTTTTACAATTTATTTGTATTTACTATATCTATATTATTTATAATTTTCGTCAGCTAATAGTCGGCAATGGAGGCTTTCAAATATTTATTAAAGGCTCGTATGCTTATTTACAAAAATGCAGCTATAAATCCTTTAACCGCAAAGCCATAGGCAATTAATTGGAAAACCGTAATCAAAATTGCAATAAGCTTAGTCAACACACAGCTGCTGCTGCTCGGTAGCTGCGTGGCTCGATAAGCCACTCCCATCGCCCTGGCAGCTGGGATGGCTCAACTGGCTGACTAATTTATGTATTAACTTTGAACGCTCATTAGTTTAATTAGTCAAACAAATTAACGTGGGGCGCTCGGCAAGTGGAGTGCAAACAGCAAAATGGCCGAATAAACAGAGAGGCCGAGCATAGGAGTGCGAGTGCGGAGAGCCATTCACCGTCTGGCATCTCGCTCGCACCTGGACAGTGCACGTCATTAAATATACAAATACTCAAATATTCAACAAATCCGTACAATTTAGGCTCGCGAAAATTGCAGAAAATTGCGCATAAGCGAAACCCGCGAATAAATGGAAAATAATTCAATTAGCGCATAATTACGCGTCTGACCACAATTGTAATTTTTTAATTGCGCTTGTCGCGAGGTCAGCAGCTTTTAGCCGATTATCGATTTTCCTTATGCACATTCGCCTTTTAATTAGCTGTAAATCTTTCGAGAGCTTGTTGAAAGCCATTGCAAAGGGCGTAAGTGGGGCCGAGACGCAACTACTGCCTTTGCATGCACTATTTATTTTAACAAGAGCTGCTCATTTAATACTTATTTTCACTAATTAAATGAGCGAATGAGATGGCAACATTCTGGCTACAGTCCAAAAGAGACAGCAAGCGAAGGAGACAAAGACAGAGAGAAAGTGATACGTCTGCAGCTGTGGGCAACGTCAGACATTTTTCGCGCAAAGTTTCATGTCTATGTAAACAGCGGCTTGTGTGTGTCTGGCGGGCCGCCCAAATCGTTCTCTCTGTGCGTTTGTGTGTGGCATACATAGCAGTTTACACACACACACACACACATGGACAGTGAAATGTCGCCCTCGCACATAGCGAGTATGCATCGTCTGTTTGGGCGCACTTAAATAATGAATAATGACGAGACAGGCAATTAAAATAATTTGCGGTTTTACCGTGCGTATGCGCATCATTTAATTTTGCATGTAAAAGGGTAAAGCGCTTAATACACTGTCACAAAATGTCGTGTATATTGTAAACGCAACTGCTGTAGTCTACTTTCTGGCTACGCTTGGTCAGCGAAGCATCAAAAGCTGCTTAGCTCGTTGGCTTGTCAAGTAAACTGAGCAAAACGCACAGCCAATTTGCACAGTGCACACACACACACACACACACGTACACACACATGTATATCACACACTCAGCTTCATCAATGGACCAATTACAGCGCTGAGCTTCCGCGCTGGTGTTGGTAACAAGCATCTTAAAAGTAATTAAAACGAAAATGGCATAACAAGCTGCTCATTAAGAATGCCATCTCCCCTCATTTTGTGGTTAATTATAGAGGAGCGAAGCCGAGCAGCGCTAACGAGCGCCCAGCTCCGTTGGCGTTGGCCCCGCAAAAAAACCTTAAGCAACGACAAAGTCAACGAAAGAAAAACATGCCTCAAAATGCCGACAGCCGACAAGTCGCCTGAGAGCCGACGAGCACATACAGGGAAGATCGGACTATGGGCAACTGTGTGGAGGGCATGCCGTTGAAGTTCATTAAGCAGCATCCTCGCTGTCCTGCGTCCACTTAACGATGTCACTTATACGCCCCATTGTGCGCTCAAACCAACTACCATGAACACGGCCACTAACCAACCAGGCTATCAGCAGGCTATCCACTTAGCTCCTTCTTTCTCTCTCTTTACATATGCATATCTCATTCTTTCTTTATCTCACTCGTTCTCCATCTCGCTCACTCTCTCCTTCGCCCACTCCCACTGCATGGCCATGTGGGTCGCTGCTACGATGCGTATAAACCGCAAATTGGATGCGATATTAAATTGTCTGTGCAAAGCGCATATAAATTTTTGTTCAATTTAAACCATTCTGTAAACTGAGCATCGAAACTCCCACACACATATAGAAAGAGAGTAAAACAGACAGAGAAAGAGCGAGTGAGTACGAGAAAGGACCAGCCGGAAAGAGAGTCGAACAAACATGAGTGGAGGCGACCGATGCTGTCTTCCTCTGAAATCTTTGAGTTGTACAAGGAAAAAGTATCAACTAACGTGGGCCACAGTCAAAAGTTGAGGAATTGACTTAAAGTCTGTAAGCTGGTTGTTAAAGCCGACAATTGTTACTTACTATTATTAACAACTAATTAACAAAATGATTAGCCACTAAAATGAACCTCATATTCAATTAGGCATTTTAAAAATTGGCAAGCAGAATTCCTTTGCTGGCGGCTGCTGCTGGCATTGGTTGTGTTCGGCTGCCAGCCACAAGAGCAGAAGCATTCATGCATATATGACTAAGAGCAAACCAGGCATAAGCAAGGCAACAACAACACAAAAAGCATGTGAAACAGCGCACATTTGAAATATAAAAAGCTGAGATCCATTTCGGAGCCAACGGAGCGCATAAGCAAACAATTTTTGCGCTAAATAATTTGACAATTACTCACATCCTCGAGCGCATATTTGGATGGCAATTGAACAGAGTGAGGGGCGAGCAAGCCAATGCAAAAACTGTGCAAAGCTGGGCAGCAGCTTATAATCGTGTGTGTGCGAAAGAGAATGAGAGATTGAGTTGGCTGAAGGCAGCCCTATGAGAGCAAGATAGCTGGCGTATGTCGTCACTTGGTTGCCTTGCTCAATGCTCCAAGACCTAGGAACAGACCATTACGCTTGCTAACGAGGACAACGCAAATTAAATCATTAGATGCTAGTCGAGATTAGGTCCTGCCGGCGTATAGTAAAAGGAGGAGCCAGTCCACTCAAAACACAACTCACTCAAACCGTCAGCTGGGGGCGTGTGCAGCGTGCAAAGAGAGCAGCCGCAGCAGAGAATAAGAGCGCAATGCCGAGCCACTCAAAGCAACCACCACCACCAAGCATCAGCAGCCAGCAACCAGCAACACGACAGCGAGAACGACAGACGCCGCAACAGATTTGTTCACTTTCCATTTAGTTGACTTGCCACGGGCCAGCGGCAGCCACAGCATCTGGACTATCGCGCGACTCAAGACTCACTCGACAGCGACAACGACAGCGAGCGGGCAGCAACCCTCAAATAGTGTCGAGCAATACTATTGACATTACCATTACCATTTCCATTTCCGTTTCAGCCCCGGCTGCGAGCAGAGTGTCGCACGCGCGGATTACGCTCAAAAGCAATGCGATAAGCGTAAATGTACAACAACAACGAGAACAACTAATAGCATCAGCAGCATCAGCTACACATATTGAGAGATACGCGCCGGCATCAGTGACAGTCAATTGGCTGCAATCAAGGTGACAACACCACGCCGCGGCAAGCGAACAGAGCAAGTGAAGTCAATTAAAGTGAATAGACAGTGCACAAGTGAACTCTTCTAGTGTTGTGAAGTGCCAAGAGACAAGTGCAGCAAGCGATATGGTGATGCTGCAGTCACCAGTGCAAAAGCCTAGCGATAGCATCGGGGCACAGCCCACGGCCGTCGGCGGTCTGATGAGCCCCAACTCGAATCCCGATTCGCCCAAATCAAACACCTCGCCCGACCTGGCGAATGTGGGCAGCAATGTGAGCGCCGAGCTAGTCTCTGTGTCCAGCAATGCCACCACTGCAACCACATCCATTAGCACGCCAGTAGCCAAGTTACCCAAGTTTATAATTGCTGCCAGTGGACAGGCTGCCAAGCAGGAGCAGGACCTGCGCTACTCCATTGAGCGGTTGAAGCAAATGAGCAGCGAATCTGGAATGCTCAGTCGCCTAACTCCCACACAGGAAGATGCTGAGAAAGAGAAGACTAATAACAATAATAACAACAATTTGGCCAACAACAACAAGAATAACTTGCGCCGCTCACAGTCACCGCCAGCGGGCGTCGGTGTCTTCCCTTTGCCGGCGCAACAGCGCAAGCTACTGGAGCTGAGCGCCGTGCGCCACTTGGCACGACCGGAGCCATTGCAACATCCACATGCCGCATTACTGCAGCAGCATCCGCACCTGCTGCAGAACCCTCAGTTTCTAGCCGCTGCCGCTCAGCACCACCATCAGCAGCAGCAGCAGCAGCAGCAACACATGCACCACCATCATCACCATTCTGCACATTCACATCCACATCATGCAGCAGCCGCTGTGTTTCATCTGCGTGCCCCTGCAGCTATATCCAATGGCAGCAACACCACTGCACCACCATCGCCTGCCACATCGCCTTTGTCGCCGCCCACATCACCCAGCACTGGCACAGCCACAGGCACAGGCGTGGGCAACAGCCAAACGACACATTCCGAGCCGCAAAGGGAGTCGCCCTTGGCAGCACCAGCAAATCCTTCACATTCAGCGCTGGTAGCGCCGCCACAGAATCTACAGCTACCTCCACCGCCGCCACAGACAATGTCGACGGCGACAATGCAGCTGCACTTGGGTACTGGCCCGCATACAGTGATGGGCAGCATTAGTCCCACGTCCGCCAATGACATGGATCTGGAGCGCATTAAGCTGGTGGCAGCGGTTGCCGCGCGCTCCACTCAAAGCCAAGCTCCCAGCACATCCACCGCCGCCTCGACTAGCTCCTCCTCCGCCTCGCCCACTGGCCGCGACTTAAGTGATTACGGTTTCAGAATACAGCTGGGCGGTCTGGCAGCAGCGGCAGCAGCTGCGGCAGCCACCTCTCGCCAGATTGCGGCCGCTAGTTATGCGCGCAGCGACACAAGCGAAGAGCTCAACGTCGATGGCAACGATGAGGACAGTAACGATGGCTCCGGATCCCACAGCACGCCGTCGGTAAGTCTTGCGCTTGACATTGACTGTTTGCCCTTCTTTCCATGCTCAGATTTGCTGTCCTTTCTCTGCATCCGCTTTTAAATCAGGTCTGCCCCGTGGACCTGACACGCTCTGTGCCGAATAGTGCGAATAGTGCGAGCACTGCATCCACCAGTGGAGCTAGCGACAGAGAGGCAACCAAGCGCCTCGCCTTCTCCGTGGAGAACATTTTAGATCCCAATAAGTTCACAGGCAACAAACTGCCAGCGACAGCGCCACCTTTCGGGCATCCGCGTCAGTGGACCTACGATCGAGATGAGGAAATGCACGATCATCTGGACGACGAACACAGCGAAGATATGTCTGGTAAGTGTCTGCTAAATGTAGCTCAATAACTGCGCCTTTAGAGCCAGACCCTGCAACATTGTTGCTGTGTGCTTTGATTGGATTCTGGTACATGCCGGGTGGCACAGCATCCCGCCTAACATTTACATCTTACATCCGTATTCTCCTCTTTGTACCATCGGACAGGGCAGAGGAAGCAGCAAAACGTTTTCACCTCCACTTGTTATTCCAAACTGCCAACTTTATTCGAGCGTCTTTTTTTTAGTCCACATGGCGCTGTGCAATTGTGTGGGTGGGCTGGGCTGTGGGCTGGGTTGTATTTAAACTGCCGCCTGTAGCTTTTGGTATGTTTTGATTTTGATTTTGTTTTTTTTTTTGTGCAACCACTTCACACACTTCCGGGCACACACTCGCAGAAGGTAAGGCAAAGTTGCCATTTTGAACGAGCAGAGATTTTGTGTTGCCTGTTTTCATCCGTAAGTCACGTAGACCCAGGGTGTATGTGTGTCTGTTGGTACTATGAGAGCAGTGTTATATGTATATATATGCATCGGGTATATTCGCCGGGTAAACAAATGTGCCAACAATGCCAGGGAGGAATAAAACTTGTTTAGACTGAAATCTGCACTCATATTCAAGTGGGGATTTTGCCTGGAATTTGTTTTAATTGATTGATTGATGTTTTAATTGGGAAAAGCAATTGCTGTGTGGAATTTTACGATATTTCTTTTTGCCAGCCTTTGTGCTGCCCGTGTGTTGGGCTGCTCTCATTTTAATTTTTTATTTTCCTTCAATTTTTTTCCTTTTGCTAGCTGTTAGCTAACATTTTGCTGAAAATTAATTGATTTTCATGCTTCGCTTCTTGCAAAGAAATTTCTCAAATAAAAATTTGCAAATTTGATTGAAGTTGTGTGGTAAACTTGGCAATAGGATCTGTGGGGGAGCACAGCAGCACCAGACCAGAACTGCTAAGCTGCGGCAAAGCGCCAAAATAAACGTTGAAAACAAAGTAGATAGCACGGGACGAGGCGGCCATACGGGAAGCACTTCGTATTATGCTCCTGACGAAGGACACAGAGAAAGTTAAGTTTTGCAATTGGTGAAAAGGTTTGTTTGAACAATGGTCATAATTTGATTATGACTATGAATGGGAATTTTGGAAAAAAAGAACGATTAAGTGCTCAACTATGAGCTAAGCAAACATAAATAGCAAATCTCAAAATACTGCGCTTCTGAGAAAAAGACAAATAATAAATTCATTTAAAATTTATTTCATTTTCCTGCTTAATCGTATTAGCCTTTCGCTGAGTTAAGTGTCGAAATCTATTAAGTAGGAAATATTTTCCGACTAGCGATTAAATACAAGCAATTTAATATGAATTGGCTTCAGTCCAACTAAATGCCGAAGGTAAAGAAGAAAGAATTGGATCAACTGCTAAAGTTGCGAATATAAAAGGAGTCTTCAATAACTTTGCAAAAGTCATCCAAGCTTGCTATATAAGGGCAATAATTCTTAACGAATGTTATCATTGAATGAACATTGATGACTCGAAACTTGCAATTGTTTTTCTTTAATCAATATTGTGAGCCACAACGGGTAATAGGAACACACAGCTTGTCAGTCATTTAGCTCGACCAAAGTGCTAGTTGCACGTTCACACTCGCATTTACACTCACACCAGGCTCGCACACACACACCCACACACTCCCTGACGCAAACAAGCCACTCGCTTTATTGGCCACTTCGGTAAGCGCTTATGTACGAAATTATAAACAGAGAAAATGGCGCAGAACACAGCAGCAGCAGCAGCAGCAGCAGCAGCAGTAACAACATCATTATCAGCAACAAATTATCGGCCATTGCTGCTGCTTACTGCTTGTTGTTATTGTTGTTGTTGCTAGCTGCTTGTGTGACTGTTTGCTGTTTGTGCATTTGTGTTTGTGTTAATAAAACACAATTAGCTTCATCAATGGCGCCGGACGTGGCGGTGGCTGCTGCTGGGTGTGGCGTCGCAGTACTCGAACATAACTGCTAATAAAACAGACTGAATGGCCGCGCCAACGACCCCAAGCGGCGGCAACAACCCAACACGGCAGGTCCAGAGACCAGCAGAATAGGGGAAGCAACCAGGATAATGATGCTGGCAATGATTATGTAGCTGGTCTTGTTCGTATTCGTGTTCGTGTTCGTGTTATTGTTGTTGGCAGTTTGTTCAGGCAGTTGAAGCGTACAGAAAAGGTACAGCAGCCGTACAGACAGACGGCCTGACTGTTCGCATTACGCATACGCACTGTTTCCGTCCTGTGATTCAACGATTGTTGCCTGGTGATGCCGTAGTCATTAATTAGCAAGGTACTTAATTACCGCACATTCATTAGCCGCTTCAATGGCTCTGTCCCGAATACATACAAACATACACTCACACATTTACACCAGCACCCCCACCACTCGCACCACACTTCCAATCCCTATCAGACACTTAATTTTATGACCTGGGAGGTGCTAATGTTGCTGCTGGTCGCTTCACTTTATATTAGCGTAATTATGTGGCCTTTTGTCTTTCCAACTAATTAGATTTTATGACATCTTCATTCAACCTATCCAACCCATCCGCTCGTTTACCGTATCGGATCATACTGAATGCATTGTGTGCATGATGCTTAATAATTTACATATATTACGCATACGCTGCATTTGTCAGCGTGCAATTCTCTAAGGCGCCATTCGCTGGGGCTGGTCACTGGGCGCACAGCAATTTGCATATCATTTAAAATGCAAAACAAAACTCAGCCAAAAGCACACAACTAGCAAATGCACTAAAAGCAGCGATGAAAGCCACAATACAAAACACATACACTTACGTGTATACACAATACCGACGGGACGGGACGGGACTAAGGGCGGAGGAAATAAAAACAACATGGATAGCAGCACGGATAGCTAGGAATTTACCATATCCCCACGCACACACACACACATTCTAGTCGGCCTTATAGTCGAGCAGCACAAAAAATGCGCCCCAAAAGTCATATGAAAAAACATGCGATAACTAAGTGGGCTCACAGAGCATGGCGGGAATGTACTGGCTGGGGTTGGGTCGAATAAAATGGTTATGTGGCAACATTTAACTGTGGGTGGTCGTGCCCTGGCAGCAAGCAGCAAGGGGAGCGAGACTGCTGGCAACCAACCCCCGAGAAAGTAAAATGGCTGCGAAAACTTTTATTCTTTTCAGCACTCAATTTGGCGCTCACTCTAGCGCTCTCGTTCGCACCCATGGAAAGCGCAATGGCAATGCCAATGCATCCTTATATACTTACATATATATACATACATATATAGATATATTTATGTATGTGTGTGTGTATATAGCATACTTTGTAGTCATGTATTGGTGTATATTGCTGGTCCTGCTGCGGGTCGCAGTCCTGGCGCTCTGGGGAGCTTTGCAGATTTGTGTGCGTGTCTGTGAGTTCTGTAAAGTTAGGCGACAATTTTCGTAGTCTCGGCTCGGCTCGGCTTTTTATATCCGTCATCAGCAACTCATTTATTATTTTATGAAAATGGCAAAATGAGACGACAAATGCTCCCCGGGGCCGCATTGGCCAAGCGTATGCGATTATAATGATTGCGACAATGAAGCCTCCCGAAACCCAAGTGCTCGAACCCAAATTTAAAAGCCATTTTGTCTGTCGAGCTTGTGTATATGTATGCGTGTGTACATGTGTGTATGGTAATTAACACTCAGATTTCATAATTAAGATTATGGCTTAAAATTATACGTTGTCATGTAGACTCTTTTATGTCAGGCTTCTACTCTTACAAAGTCTACGAAAGTTGGTCTACTCTGTTCGCGACGTATTTGATATACGTCGGAGCCCATAGAAGACAGTTGAATATATTTTATATATTCCATATATATTTTACCAAGAATATCTCAACATGAAACTTATAGAGTTGACTTGCTTGCTCTTAATATAATAATTAGGGTGCAATAAATTTGGTTTCCATCTTTTCCAACTTGCTTTTGGTGTAATTTTGTCATAGAGTATCTGTATATAAGTGTGTTTATATATTAGTTTTTTCTACTATATACGAGGCTTATATTGAATGCGCCATAACACGAATAGAGAATAGAGCTTGACAAATATTGTACGTCAGATAGAATAAAAGGAAGAGTTGTAAATGTAGTGTCAAATTAAAGATTACATAGCTGAGGACATAAGCAAACTCTTATATTTGACTCAAAATAGTGAATACAGTTTAACAAGGGTGTTCCTAAAATGATGTCTTACTGTAATCCATTAAATTCTCAACTTTAATAGAAGTTACACATACAAATTATATAAAGTAGTAATTTTTATTAAAATTTTTAGCTATAATATGAAGCAGAAAATAGTCAAATATTAGGTTATATATAACATAACCCTTTAGGTAACTCTACAGCCATATGCTTGCCCGACAACAAGCATACGCCGTGTTGCACTGGCTGGACTGCTAGTTACTCTAATTAGAAAAGCGCGCCATCACACCCGCCTGTTCCTCCAGCTTGCTCCGGCTTGCGCTTATTAACCAGCTGCGGTTGCGGCTGGCTGTTTATAGGACGCAAACACCCTGTTAGAGCAGCACACAATGCACAGTGGCGCCCTCTGCCCTCAGCCTCACCCATCGTCGTTTGCAGACCTCTCGACTTTTTCGCGTCTGTTTGCCGACGCATTAAACGTCTGGTGGAGTTCCGCCTCACGGGGCAGTTAATTCAATTGACTCAAACCAATTGTGGTCAGCAGCATTCGTCGGAGCCGTTCAATGGCTATTGATGATGATATTCGGGCATCTAATGTGCCATTAATGCATATCAAAGTGGCTGCAAACACTCCACAGCCCATTACCAGTGCGACAGACGACAGGCGAGTCATTTGCATTTGAAAGGGCAGACAGACTCCACGCAACCCCTGGCAACGTTGGCGGTCAGTAAAATCGTTAAATATTAAATGAAGCGTTCATGTTAATTTTCTGTTTAATTGGCGCGCTGTCTGTGGCGCTCTGGTAGGCAGCCACGGCCAGGCTAATTACATGCAAACATGGCCAATCGTGTTGACCAATTACCAGACGTATGCATTTTGAAGCTCCGTTTGCCCTCGACAGGAGCTCCTCTCTGCTTTATGTGGGTGGAACGTTCTGAACTTATTTATCGAGCTCTCGATTCTCCTATTTTAGGCTAAGTTATATCGTTGGTTATCCCATCAATATAGCTTGGATAATAATAATTACTCAATCAGTATATCAATAATTACTTAATCAGTATCTTTATGGATACATAAGAGTCAGTTATGACTCAACTTGGTAATCAATATGCCTGCGCAGTAGACAGTGAGCATAGTTGTGACTCAGTGGACAGTGGACGGTGGACACTACGCGTTAATTGAATTTTGATTGTCGCATCACTGCAATCAATTGCCGTTCCGAACGGTTCCGCCCACATACACATGTGCGGCAACATGTGCCCAAGATTCCAATTAACTTACAATGCTGGGACCGATGCGTAGTGATTGATTTCCGTTTGCAAATCGCGTCTGACCCTTAGGGCATATTGATTGATGAATCTCTTGGCATATGCAAAAAAAACTATCTTGTATTTCAACTTTTTCTCTGCTTGCGCTTGCAGCTCAGGATCTCAATGACATGGACCAGGACGACATGTGCGACGATGGCAGCGACATAGATGATCCTAGCAGCGAAACTGATTCCAAGAAAGGTAGCAGTCGCAACGGCGATGGCAAGTCCGGGAGCGGCGGCGGTGGTGGTGGATCCAAGCCGCGAAGGGCACGAACGGCTTTCACCTACGAGCAGCTGGTTTCACTGGAGAATAAGTTCAAAACGACGCGTTATTTAAGCGTTTGCGAGCGTTTGAATTTGGCGCTTAGCCTGAGCCTGACTGAGACGCAGGTAGGCATTAGCTTTGACTGGTTCGTGGGGCTGTCGTCTGAATTGTTGTGTTTCTTTTTGGCAGGTTAAGATCTGGTTCCAGAACCGACGCACCAAATGGAAAAAACAAAATCCAGGAATGGATGTGAATAGCCCAACCCTGCCGCCGCCCGCTGGTGGTTCCTTTGGACCCGGCGCCTATGCCAGCAGCCTGCTCTATCCGCACGCCGTGCCCTATCCACCGTACGGACCCTACTTTCACCCTCTGGGCGCCCACCACTTGAGCCACTCGCACTCATAAAATTGTAAGATGCAACAGCGTTTGTTGCAAATCTTCGAAAAGCGTGCCAAGGGCACAGCCATAGACCCATAGCCAAAGCCCGGCCCAGCGGCCGACGCAATGTAAATATGAAACTGCTTTAAGTGTTATTTAGTCTCGCCTGTACATAGTTCGTGTATAATATTACAAATTGTAGCGCTTAACTACAGCCAACGAAGCCCAAAGATGTTGCAAGTCAATGTTTGACATATCTAACCGTATAGCCGTTCGTATGTAATTACTTTAACAAATTACCAATTATGAGTATGTTATTATTGTAACTAGTATGTATGAGTATGTAGCACTATGTTAGCATTTAAGTGGCAAGCAAAATCAAAAATCAAAATTGAAATCGAAGTAAATATAAAATGTGAAAAAATAAAGATTTTAAATATTACCAAAGAAAGCTCGAGCTCAAGGCTTATGAATGTGTGGATGTTTGTATGATCGGGGCGGGGGGGCAAAAAACAATTTATCGCTGTGGTGCACACACAGATAAACACAGATAAAAGGGGCAGTCCGACCGCCAGACGGACAGACAGACATACTGTAAGGACTCTCCGGCAAGCGTGTGAAATGACAGGACAACAATGCTAAGTCAAGTGTAAAATTTTAAATTTGCTTCTCATTTGCTGCGTGCAGCTCAGCCACTCAGCCACTCAGCCACTCACACGCAGACAAGGACACACGCACTCAGGACTATTCAATTATGTGGCAAACGAATACGAAATATCTTAATCCGATTTGTGTGATACAATGACGGGCATATATAGCCAAGGCGAAGTTGTCAAAACAGACAGGAGACAGGCAAATGAATAAATTCACGGGCTTCACACCTCGCGCCCATTGATATTATAACTACTCACTGGTAACACGGGCTGCGCTCCCTCTTATTGGTGGGCAGCATAATTGAAACAGAAATCCATGCATGGCCAGCTCCAGGCGCCCGCCAGGACTGATCTGAATGGGCAGACGGCTGCGGATGTGCCGTTGACATCGACTGGATGTAAACAAACAGACAAACAAAACAAGCGGAGTCACTGAGCAAGGATATGGCGGAAATCCTTTTATATCTATTACGCCACCGCTCTAGAAACGTTGAGCTCTGTGTGAAAAGCCACGCGACACGCGCCGTGTATTTCGCGTGCGTTGGCTGTAACTAAATTTCGCACATTTGATTGCATTTGCTGGCAACAACGACTCCGCCCCGAACGAGGAGGAAGGAAGCGCATAGCACACTTTCCTTCTGCCAAGGGACATTTGCATAAATAATTTATTAAAAATTTGCTTTTACATTTGTTTTAAGCTTTGCTTAAGTACTTTGCAATTAGTCGAAAATCCCATTTGACGCACACATACAGATATGCATATTATGCATGAACCCGCAGCCATGTGCGCCTGTGTGTGCGTGTGTGTGTACGTTAATTTCTGTAAATGTGAGCCAATAAATTATTCAGCTGCAGACATGCCAGCGAGTTACGCACTAAATTTTCTAAAATGCGAATGTGAGCGTACAAGCTCCATTTGCATACAATTAAATTATAATTTTAGTTGCACCAACTTGTGCTGCAACTAGAGTGTGGCTCATCCTACTCGGCCGGAACGTATTCAAAAAAACTATATTCAAATTGTGATATTTGAACATGCTTAAGAAGTTCAATAACAAAATATATTTGAACGCAAGCTCACAATTTAAGTGTAATTGTTTTTCTATATTTATTTTTATTTTTTTATATATTTATTTATATTTTCTATATTTACCATAATTAAACTTAACTGAAAAGTCTTCTTAGGCAACTTACTTCATAATGTGCAATCGATAACTGCCCCAAATTGCCCACTAAATAGCATTTATTGCAGTGTATTGAGTAGACGCCCACAAAACATCTTCTCACTGGCAAACACAGCCACGAAACGATAAATTAACGAGACGCCTGCCCACTTAAAGGAATGCTTAACCTCACACCCTGTAGCTATCGCTACCCTTACAGTTTCGCCGTCTCCGGAATGACGTACGCCCAAAACGCAAATCCAAGACAATTGCTTTCCAATGCGCGCCATAATAAAGCAAATCCCATCTCTAAGTATTTTACACCACCAACTGGCAGCCTGACAGTTGCCCACTCCAGCAACACTTCACTTGCTTCTGGCGGAAACTCATTCGCAGAATCAAAATGCGACACTCACACAATTAAGTTGTTTGGCTCGAGCTTGTCCCGCTCTCACTCTCAGTGCGTGTTTTTAGGTCTTTTGGCTAAACTACTTTGAATTTTATTTTATAGGACTTATTTTGGATTCCAATTTACTTGCTTCTTATTATTTTTTTTAGTCTGCTTTGTTTACGTATTTTACGAGAACCTTTTTTTGCGCCTGAATTGCTGCAGATTACGCATACTTCATTCTGAGTGTGAGAGTGTGTGTGTGAGTATCTAGACGTGTGTGTGTGTGTTGGCAACATTTAATCTGCACCATTGACTTTTCTACAGTTCGCCCCTTATACGTGTTTGTCACACCCAAACTCAGTAATGCTCTCTCTCTATCACCCTCTCTCGCTCTCGCTCTCGCTCTGGCACCCCCTCCCGCTTGCTCTCATTGAATGTAGTAAATTTTATGCGAATATTTAGTTTGCTGTGCTTATCAGCACGGCTTTATCGAAACTTATTGTGTTTGTTTAATTGAATTTGGATTGCCGCGGGCTGCGACTGCAAGGATGACGACGCTGACGACAATTTCGCGGATGAGTGGATGCCTGAGACGCTGACGTCGGCCAGATAAACCAGTGTGGAGCAGCGAGTGAAACTCGTTTGCCGGCAAGTGGATTGTCTAATTGGGAGTGGTAGATCAACGCGAGACTTAGTTTAGTTCATTTAGCTCGCTATTTGTGGCTGGCAGTGAGTTGCGCGGCAATTAAAATTTAACTACTATGCCACGCCCATACGCCCATACGCCCACACGCCCACATGCACCACAAATGCTTGCATATGTGCGTCCATATAAATTATGACCCGAGCTTGACATAAACAAGCTCCCAAGAGGCACTTTGGCCAGGCTATATGACAGATTTTCCGAGCGTATTTGATGAAGCGCAATAGAATGAGGCAAGGATATACGCTAAAGTGTCACCGGGGAGCGGGTCGCCTGCCACATGTGTCTTGAGTCAAGCGACGCTGCGGAGCCATTGAGCCACCCCAGTTGGCATTGTTGTTTGCAAGCGAATCACATTTTGATGATTGTCAATGTGACTTTAATACCATTTTTCAACTTGACACGCGTGTGGGACGCTCAGCGTTCGGCGCTCAGTCAGAGACTCGGGGTTGCGCTTGCCACGTGTACTCACGGAGCTGTATGATAAGGAATAAAAAAAGGGCTATGGCCAGGAACTGTGCCAGGCACTGAGCGCAATGCTGACATCTGTGGATTAAATTGCAATTTGTGCTCATGTAATATTAAAGCTAGCAAAGAACTTTGTGTAACACTTTGACATTGCTGTTGTTGCCACGGAGTTTAGTGCGGCAATAATATTGTTGCTGCCACACACAATTGCTATTAGTATTTGAAATGGGCAATAAAACTGTAAACTGCCTTTGTGCTGAAAATTACATAAAATATTTCAATGGTCGATTAACTGAGATGAGAAAGAAAGAGAGTCGGAGGCAAAGAGAGGGAGATAGAGGGGAATAGAGCACTGTCTTAATCAGAAAGTGGGGCGCAAGGATTACGATTTGCATTTTTCATAGCACACTTTAGGGGGCGAGGCAGCTCAGGTATTTAGCCCCATTAGCTATGTGTTTTTGTTTCGCTTAGCCGCCACGAGGCCAAGCGCAACGCATTTAAACAGCCCGTAATTCATCATCGCTTAGCCAAGCTACCTGTCAAGTGGTAGATCCAACCAGGGACCGTGAAAAGCATTGCGAATTGAACGTAAATTAAACGCGTGTCTGTGACTCGTCATCTGCCCAAATAATTCGCAGCTAATTCGCCGGCAAGCGCAACGAAATGGGGCACAAAGCCAAACTTCGCCCCGACCATGGGAGCTGTGCCTTTTTATTTGGTGAGAAAACATTTACGCACTAATTTCAGTGCAGCGCTGCGCGGACTGCCCGGCATTGGCATTCGAGGCACATTACCAGACCAGTTGCTTGCCAATTGGTTTGCAATTTGGTGTGCTTAGTGACGAGGGTGAGGGGCACAAGGGCGAAAGGCAAGCGGTTGATAGCCCCGGGTTGCTTTAGCCACAAATAGCGCACGCGTAGCGCCCAACACGTGCCTCAATTACGCGGTTAAATGCATTCAAATTGAGTTGTTTATACTGTGGGCGTGCGCTGGCGGGCGGCGGTCAATTGGGAGTGGCTTGCTATTGAGGCCTGCTTAGATGCGTCCCGCTGGCAAATCAGTTACAGTTGCAATTGCTGTTGCCGCTGTTGTAGTTGCCGCTTGGAGCCACAAAGAGACACGCGACCAGTCATTGTTCGCCTATTTGAAAAAGTGTTGCTGGCTGCTGGTCCGTTAGCTCTTTCATCAGCTGCAAACATAAAACTATCAGCATTCGAGTGGGCGCTTGGCGCGGTGTGGGTTTATTGTTTATGTCATTGCTACCCCTTGATGTTAATCCGCTTATGTGTGTCTCATATTTAAGCCGACCTTACAGGCAAATCAAAACAAAGACGGCCACAGTTAAAGGCAGCCAGACAGGCGAGCGGCTGCTGCTATTTGCCATTTGTTGAACTCAGAGCACAAAGTTTTTGGCAAGCAAAAACCAAAACAAAAACAAAAACCAAAACAGAATGTGGCAACAGCAGACAGCAAACAAACTACTGTAATTATAAGTGGAAGCCATTTCGAGCAATTATAACGCGAAATGTGGGCAGGAGGCGGCTAAGCCAAGCAAGTTAGGCCAACCACGACGGCAGGCACGACGTCGGTGCTTCTCAATTTAGCTTTGAAGACGTTTACAAATGTATTTGCTGCTTGTTGCTTTTGCTCGAAATCACAGAGTACCAGCGCCAGCTGCTTTTCTGCCCCAGCTCAATCAGAGAGTTAATGCTACATTTGGCAAAGACTTCATCAAGGGTTCAGAGCTATGAACGTTACCTATTTATTCATTGTAGCCCCAAAACCAACTCATTACTGCCTGCCCAGGCAATACAATTACTAGCCAACGACATTTTCATGTCTGCTTGCCCGAAACCCCCACACCACAG